TACTTTTGAACTATGAACGTTTTGATTTGTTCTTTGAATTCATTATATTTCACTTATATGATGATATTTATATGTTTGTGCTTATGGATCATCTATTTGTGCCTTATAATGTATTCTTTATATGGTTTGATCAAGTTATACAAAGAAAATTTTCCTTTATTGATCAAACATTGTTTTTTGGATTTACACTTGATTTATGATTTCATTTGATTAATTTGTTTTTATTTGAAAACATTTTGCATGTTTCCCATGCTCTTTCTCTTTTGATTTCATAAATCTATCTTTATACATGTTTCTTATGTTCTTTGATATGAGACACTATTTTTCATATTGACATATTTATATGTGTTCTCATTATCTCTTGAATGTGAGTGAGTGTTAGCATACCTTTTATGCTTGCTCACATATGTTTGCCATGATCTTTATTTCATATATTCTATATGACATTTTGATAGGGGGAGCAATCCCTATATCTTTTTATGTTTGATACTCACCCGTGCTTATTGATAGGGGGAGCTTTCGCTCTCTTATTCTTTTTGTCCCCTTTTTGATGTTGTCAAAGGGGGAGAAATATTGTGAGTATATTCTTTCTTGTTTATATGCATGTGAATTATAAATTATATATTCATTTCCTTCATGCATATGTTTTTTTTTTGTAAATTGTTTGTCATCATCAAAAAGGGGGAGATTGTTGGCCTTCTTGTTTTGATGATGTTTAACAAACAATTTACTTCTAATATTGTTTGTCTAGTGTTTGTGTTTTCATATTTATTCTAGGCAAACAACGTGTTGGAGGTTGGATGGATTAAGCCTACACGATCATATCAAGTAGAGGTTGGCGGAATTGTGGAGTGAAGCATCGTACAATTCAAGTTCATGATCCAAGTTTAGCTTCATCCGCAACGTGTACCAAGTTGAGCTCAATGAAGATCAAGATCAAGGTTGGGTAATTTAGTTTAGGAGTTTATATTATGTGTGTTAGTACCTTAAGCTCAATTATCTATACACACACATTTATTGGTTTCTTCGTATATATATATATATAGTCATATATATATATATACACATAAGTTTTGGTTTCTATATATATATATATAGTTATATATTTACATATATGTTTTTGTTTAATAGGTTTCGAGTTTATATATGAAACAAATGAAAAGAATTGGAAAATACTATTTTGTTTCATGTTTATGTGCCCATATATGATTTCATCTTTAACAAGCTTATATTTAATGAAATCATATTTAGTGTTTTGAAAATATTGCATAGAATATGCAATTTTGTGAAAATATGGTATTCATTGTTTTTGGACTTAACAATAATCATATACATATTTTATTAAGTCTATATAATCATTGCGCAAAGTTTCAAAACATGGTTTAACCAAAATATCAAATTTCACATGTTTACATTTTCGTGTTTTGATCTATTTTGCAAAATGATGATTTTTCACAAATGGGAAATGCAATTTGGAAAATTCTTTTTGTAACATGTTCATTTACATGTTTATATACTTTTTCCAAAGTTTCATAATTTTTGGACTTCATTTGTTATTTTTAACATATTTTCAAAAGTCTCAAAAATAGCTTTAAAAACCAGTTTTTTGAATATGTCAGTTTTCGGTCGACCGAACCGGTTGACCGAACCTGAGTTCATATGCTCACTGGACGATAGAGAGTCTGTCGGTCGACCGGTCCGGTCGACCAATAAAATTTCCGGTCGACCGATGAATTTTCCGGTCGACCGACGAGAGCTTTTTCAGCTTCCAACGGCTAATTTTTTTACCGTTGCTTTTGGCTGGTTTTTTGTTTGGGCTGTTTTTGTCTTTTTGCTTGGGGTTTTTGACTGAGTTTTTGTGTGGGTATAACTACCCCATTTCTGTTTTCTTTCAAGTAATGAAGAGAGTTTTAAAACAAGTTTAAGAAAGTTTTAATCAAGGGTTTAAGTTTGTTTTTAGTGTTTGTTTAAAAAGCTTTTAAGCATTTACAAGAGTTTGGTTTGTGGAGCAAATTTTACAAGAGCAAGTGGAGATCATCCTTGGTGTTTGAGCATTCATTCTTCTCCCTCTCTCTTGTCATCTATAGAGAAGTTTCCTTAAACTCAATTCTAGCATTTTATAAGTTTGTTCTTAATTTCATAAGCTAGATTTCATATTGAGTTTATATTGTTTTATCTCTTTGTTCACACACAACCTATTGAGCTTATTGTATTTACATTCATAGTATAATTTAGGATTGTGGGTTTGTGACATTGAGAGTGAGCTTAATTGAGTTCTCACCTTGTTAGAGAGAACAATCATTTGTCATATTGTGCCTAATTGTGAGGATTCACTTGTAATACACTTGTACACCGAGAGAAGTGTGTGGTGAGAGACGGGGTCGAATCCAAGAGGAGTGGCGTCGGTTGACGTGCCTAGGGAGAGGTTGTAACCGAGCACTTGAGGAGGAGGACACGGGCTAGGACCAACACTTAGTGTGTGAGGTGTGATTACATAGTGATTGTATTGTGAGGTGTAAACGTTGTTCGGGTGAACGTAGAAAACCCGGTTGTGATAGTGGAGATCTCCTCGAGGTGAGGAGCGGAGACGTAGGTCGTGGGGACCGAACTCCGTAATCATATTGTTTGTTTGTGATTGCATTGGCGCACTTACTTTTATGTTCATATCTTATATCGCCTTTGTATATTGCTTGTTGATTATATTGCCCACTATCTAGTTTAGATTGTTTACCCTTGAGTTTATATATCCTTGCACATACATTGCCTATATCTCTTTGTTAGGATATATCTTGTTGTTCATATTGCTTATCCTAGCTCATATACATTGTTGTATTTCATACTTGCTAGGATAACTTATTAATTAAGTATATATATATATATAATTTTTATATATATAATTTTTAATTTAGGGTTTACTATCCCTTTTCAGCATCTAAAGATAGTCTAAATTGATACTGGTAAACAAAAGCAATAAGAGTTGATTAAAAATATCCGATTAAGGAACAAAAATTTTAAAAAAATATTATAGTTTAAAAATTATTGTTATCATATAAATTAAACCAACTGCATAAAATTTTACTAATAAGTTGGAGCAGCAAAACACATTAGTAACATTAATTAATAGAAGTTTAAATCCATAAAAAAAATAAAAGACTATAATATAATAGCTTAGCATTAATTGATTATAATTTAGAAATATTAATCTCTGATGTTAATAATATTTATAGAGTAAAAGAATATAATGAATTACGTATGGAGATACTATCAGAATGTTCAGAGATATCCTTCAAAAGAATTAAGCTATTTCCATTACAAATGGGAAAGTGACGAAAATAAATCTAAAATTCAGAAAACGTCCATGAATCGTTTGAATTGGCATTAATATAAGGCTATATTAAAGAAGCACCAACTGAGTTATATTAAAAATAATTTAATAACTTTATCTCAATCAAAAAAGAATTCTCTATAGAAGATATAAGAAAAAATAGTAAGCATTCATAAATTTCATACTTTGCTCTTCAAATACTAAAGAAATTAAATATTAATATTAGAATTTAAGGCAAATTAGCAATAAAAATGTAGGTATTTAGTTTAGATCTTTGTGAAAAATAACAGGAATATAGCAAATGTAATATTATTGATGTAATAGAAACTCTTATTGGATGCACATCGGAAGAATTAATTATAGAGAAAAAGAGGTAACTCTAAATCTTATCTAAATAATAAATTAGAAACACAAAGAATTTCATATATATGAGATTACTATTTTTTCTCATTGAAATAATAAAAAAAATTCAAAGTCTGTATTTTAAAAAGTTTGTGTTGAACATCGGAAATACATTTCACTTCTTTGTGAAGTTAAACGACAAGATAAAAAATTAATGAACCCAAAAAAGATAACAGCACAAAAAATACAACTCTAGCCTGATGTCACAATCGAGTAGATGATGAAGACGTTACTCTAGAATTATCCGTGAAAAAGATAAAGGTGAGAAAAAATTGATTTTAGCTTAATAAAAAAATAAAATAGAAAGAATAAAAGATAATATTTTTTAAATATTTTATAGAATAGTTTAATTATTTTGAGTGAATTTAGGAATCTTTAGAAGGGAGTTTCATGAGCTTATTTTAGTATTTTTATATGCTTGTGCAGATGTTTTTATCATGTGGAGTATACTAGAGTTAATATTAATCTTTAATTTATAATTTCTTATGAAGTATATCAATAAATAAGAACAAACTTCATATTCTTTTTTGTATCGTTTTAGTATATTTTTAACCAATCATTTTGCCTTATTGGTTTTAAATATTCACATTCATTGTATAACATTATTTCAATATTTTTTACTTTTACAACACTGCACTTTCTCAAGTAAAGCTTGGTATCATGTCAGTCAAAATAATATGAAAATTTAAATTAGCTTCAAATTATATTTATTTTCTATCAATTCAAATATCAACATGAAAATTTAAATTGGGTGTAGCCCATTTAAACAAACGTCAAAGACAATAAATAATCACAATATTAAAGTTTAGAGATAAAAGTGGGCATAAACTATTAAAGTGGAACTGAGAAACAAATGTTAGTTAGAAAATAATTTAAAAATACTTAATCATTGTATGTAACCACGTGCATTGCACGTGTATAAAACCTAGTATGTATCTGTATCCAAGTTCATATTTAAATACTACATTCAAATCCATATTAAATCAATAAAAAGATTCAGATATCTAACATTCGTATCTGAAATTTAAAGTGATATATGTAATTGTATCGGATTAAAATCTGAAACCATATATGCATCCATTTTTGTTCTATGGTTTTCAAATATTCGTTATTTTATCCGCATCCGCTTCGGATGTAGTTGAGAATTAGATTAGCTGTATCCAAACCCTTTTGCACCGTTACATAAAAGTCTCCTGTAGTAAAATTACCACCCTTCTCTCCGCAAGCGGGTGTCTTAAATTTTATTTTATTTTATTTATTCGTAATTATGTTAGAAATGCTGGTGTCTTAAAGGCCTTCATCACCCCCAAACACACTTTCTTTTTTTAGGTTAGGATCACAAAAAATAAAAAAAAACCCAACCCTCCAGCTTCCATTAATAATACCCAAAACAGCTGGATTTATCAATTCTAGAGACAGAGAGAGAGGAGAGAGATCCAATGAAGGATTGAGAAACAAAGAAACCCTCCTCCGGCTTTAATTTCTGTGGGTGCCTTTCAATGGAGAGGGATGCTGGAGAAATCCATGCGTGAATTCTGAGAAAGATCTCAACTTTTCTCTTCTCTGGGTGTTTTCCTCATCTGGGTCCTTAACGAAATTGAGAAATTTAACCTCCCTCTCTCTCTTTCTCTAGAACAGTGTAGAGTAAAACGCCTCTTTTTTTTTTCGTATTCTTGAATTTGTTGAGGAAAGGAAAGGAAGGAATTCATTGAATCTATGGGGTGATTCTTGAATTTTGTGAGATGGGTTTCTTTTTTATCTTTTTCTTTCCATTGTAGTTTCAGGGGAAAAGTTGGATATAGTCCTTTCTCTTGGCTTTGGTAGTTATCCTTATTAGTTTTCTTTTGTGGTCATTCGTAAAGAATATATATTTTTTTGATATTAATTTCAGCAAAATAGTTCTATTATTTGTTGCTATCTAGCCCCTAGTTTCTTCTCAATTCCCTGAGGAAAGCTACTGTGAACTTGAATTAGTAGTGAATTCGAGGTCGGTAGTCCGTTTTTCGTTTATGTGGGTTTCTCTTTGTATGTCCTCTGGTGATCTTTTCTTCACTTAATTTGGCTTCCAAGGGATCATTTTTCCATTTGGGTTTTTGAATTTTATGTAAAAATGGGATCTTTACTGCAATCAGTTGATGGAGTTGTTGCAGAGATCATGAACCTTCATAGATCTCTGCCACCGAGGCCTAGTATTGATGAGGTTGAAGCAGCTATGGCCGTAGTTAGAAACGTAGAGAAAGAGGAACAGTCAAAGATTGAGTCCATTTCCAAGCAGAGAAAGGGCATTGAGGTCCCTGAAGAGCTTTTCTTTGTGCTTCAAGAGATGCAGAAGAATTTGGCATACCTTCAGAGCAAAGAGCAGAAGAGTGAGGCCTTGAAGTTGCTTGATCTTGAGAGCATCCATTCCTTGTTTGATGATTTGATTCAAAGGGCAGCAAGTTGTGTTCCCTCGAGCTCGAGCACATCAGTTTCTTCGATCCCTACGAGCTCTCTAAGTATTTCCACATCAAGTTCCAAAAGTGCATTTGGCTCTTCGGCCAATCTTTACTGTTTAGAGAAGGAGACCGGAAAGAGCGGCGAGAGAGTTAGTAGAGATGATAGCTATGTGAAGAAAGCAAAGTCCACAATGTATGTAGACGAAGGGGGTTCTGATCTGAAAACTTCGAGGGGACTGTTGATGAATTCTACTATTATTCCTGCTATAGCTTCTGGTAAGTCTCATTTTAAATTCTTCTGTGGTTGAATTTGTATATTGTTATAGTAAGTAAGCTGATCCAATTGCGTAAGCTTATGCTCCTTTGTTTGATTTAGGACCTGTTTTGTTTGGACTGATTGAATTTGTTTATCTGTGGTTAATCTGTATTTGCTTGGGAATAGACATTCACTTTCTTGATAAATTTGAATTGGAAAGGGAAAAAAATGTGTTAATAACTTAAGATATTGTTAACAGTTGCTGAAAACATTTTCTGGGCAATAAATAGTTACATTATTCTTCGAAACAAAGAAATCCTGATTGAATGGAAATAGATTATATACTAAAATCATTTTTTGATTATTTGTCGGAACAATTCTTCTAAAGATAGGCTAACTGATTTGTTCATCTGTGTGAAGCTTCTGCTGGAGAAAACAGTGAGAAACTAAGTCTTATAAGACTTGCTGCCCTAATTGAAGTCTCATCAAAGAAAGGCACTCCAGAACTCAATCTCCAGAATAAGCTTATGGATCAAATCGATTGGTTGCCAGATTCAATTGGGAAGCTTTCTAGTCTAATCTCACTTGATCTTTCAGAAAACAGGATAGTTGCGTTACCGACCACTATCAGCAATCTGACCTCTTTAAAGAAACTCGATCTACACTCAAATCGGATTGCAGAACTTCCTGATTGTATTGGTGAACTCTTTAACTTGTTGCAACTAGACTTGAGGGCAAATCAGTTGACATCCTTACCCTCCACATTCGGTAGATTAATGCGCCTAGAAGAGCTTGACTTGAGTTCGAACCACTTTTCCTCACTCCCGGATGTAATTGGAAATCTTATAAGCTTGAAGAAATTAGATGTTGAGACGAATGACATAGAAGAATTGCCATATACCATCGGTAATTGTAGTAAGTTAGTTGAGCTCCGGGCAGATTATAATCGGTGCAAAGGTCTTCCAGAAGCTGTAGGGAAACTTGAGTCTTTGAGATTCTGACTTGTTCGAATACAACAATATTAAGGGACTTCCAACTACGATGTCATCGCTAACAAAATTGAAGGAGGTTGATGTTAGCTTTAATGAGCTCGAATCGGTTCCAGAGAGCTTATGCTTTGCTACCGCACTCGTGAAGCTGAACATTGGAAATAATTTTGCTAATCTTCTATATCTTCCACGGTCTATTGGCAACCTTGAGATGCTTGAAGAGTTGGATATGAGCAATAATCAGATAAGGATTCTCCCTGATTCTTTCTGTATGCTATCCAAGCTTCGTGTGCTGCATGCTGAAGAGAACCCTTTGGAAGTTCCACCAAGGCATATAGCTGAAAAGGGAGCGCAGGTAAATCATTCTTTCACATCTTTTGGCTGTTGTTTGTTTCGTAGAAAGCAATGGGGAAGGAAAGGAAGGCCGGCTTATCTTGTTCTGTTTCTCTGTTGTCAAGTAGTGAGAAAATTTTCAGTAAGCTCTGCACAATACTTCTATGATGGAGCCATGCCCTCAACACTTCGACACCCATACTGGACACTGGCACTTCCATGGGGATTTCTTGCATAGCATAAATTTATTCAAACGTGTCCTCAATTATATAATACGTGCTTAATTTAGAACAATCACCATACACTTCTTTGACATACATCATACTGTTCACATGCACTTCTTTATTTTTTTTATATGTTTGAAATATCTATTAATTTTTTATATGGCCGATCAAAAGTTTAGCATGTATGTAACTATTATATGTTTTATCTTATTAGAAACAAATGTGTAGCTCCTTCATGCATGAGGATGTGTATGCATGCATGCTTATATACTCTCTTTATTGTTATAATAAATATTATAATATATATAATAATTACTGTGTGGTGTGTCCGTTGCACCCTCGTATTTCATACCTGTGTCCATGCTACTTAAATTTAGGTTAAGTTTATCCATTTCTTTTCTCTGTATTTCTTTCTTTCAGCATTAAAACAAGCACAACTGAATTCTTCATCTATTTTCCTCCCTTTTGCCTTCTGTCGTACCAAATACAGCATTATTTGATTCCTACTGTGTGTAGCAGTGTGTAGTAGTAATTTCTAGAGGGTAATTTTGATTTGGTTTGTTCCAGGCTGTTGTACAATACATGGCTGAGCTCGTTGCGAAAAGGGATGTTAAGCCTTCAGCCAAGACCAAGAAGGCATGGTGTCAAACTTGTTTTTTCTCAAGGCCAAACAAAAGGAAGAGTGAAGGTTGGGACTATGTCACCTGATCATTGAATCCTCGGTAAGACCATTATAATAACGCGAAAAACATTATGCATTACACCGTTAACTGTTGAGGTTTTTAGTCTCTTGAAATGCTTTCTGAGTATTTCATGCTATGAAATTGCAGAGAATGCATCTTTTGTGAAGTTGGTAAATACATGATCTTGTCGCAAATGCTTTTTCATGGAATTCAATGATGAAAATCTGCAAATATGTGGTTGTTGTCTCTATAACTCTTTTTTTAATTACGTGTATTCTGATCCCTTGAACATATATGAGTTGTACCATTAGCTACGTGCGGCATATTCATAAACTGTTATTTTATATCCTTCATTTTTTACACTGTTATGTAGTTGAGCTTTTGTAACATATTGTATATGGACAGGATCAGGAGTTTCCTGCGAAATCAAATTTTCATGTTCCATTTTTACCAAGTAACGCCACTTTTATTATTATTATTACTATAAAATATTGTATGAATTTCTCAAATTTGTGACATAGCGAATAAGCTGTTGATTGTACTTAGGCTGCTTCTGTTTCTTTTTGTTGTTGTTGTTGTTGCTGCTGCAAAGATGTGAATGTACTCATAGGTGCTAAGTACGTAGGTCTAAATACTACAATATTAAATAACTGTAAACAAGGGTTAGCAAGTGGAGAGCTCTGCATATTACCTTTAATCAGTTGAATGTAAATATTCCGTAATGTTAGTGTAATGTTCTGTTTTAGTCCTATAGCAAAAGAATTTTTTTTTGTCCCAGAACAATGCAACATTTGAAAGAACATGTAGCCTTAAAGTTTATGGGAACAGCAAACTGCAAACTTCTGAAGAAAGCATATTTGCAGCTTGCACTGGTTATTACTTTGATTTCCAAACTTTGTAGTTGTGATTGATGACAAATGTAGCCCCTTAATGTTGGAGGAAAAGAAGCCGGAATGGAATTTGGGATTGTGTATATACATGTAAATGTGATATTTTGATCTACTTTGATGTCTATTATTTGGACCCCCAGAGTATATGGTAACCAAATTTGTATAGTTGATGAAACAGTTGTCACCCTTCGCAGGCGAAATATTGTTGTTGTTAGCACAAGTAATTCACCAATTCTGATGACATCCCTTAACAGTATTATTGAGCCAAGTAATTGATCTTGACACGAATGCATTAGTACAGCGCAGATTTGTAGAAATTTTCAGGTGAAGTTTCTTGCTACAGGGTCGTATAAAAGCTTCATGGAGTATCCATTGATATTCACGCTACATTTTAGGGCCACGCTCTATGATGTGGTGTTGTACTGATACTGTTTTCATTTTAGTTGAAGCTTAACATTTATATATATTTTTCCCGATTGCCTTGTCCTGATCTTTTTTTCTCTCGATCTTTTCAAGTGATTGTGATGTAGTGCAATTCAAGTGATTTGTAACATTTGTCTATGTTTTCTATCCCAGTAGGCAACGTAGTGGATCCTTGTTTGTTCTCTATGGTTGTTGGTTTGGACAAGCTGGGGGAGAAGTGAGATAATTGTTTTTTGGACAAATTTTGAAAATCGACTTTTTTTTAAATTTAATAGGCAAAATCGACCGTATAACAATAAAATGAGCAAAATCGACCCTTTTTTGCACGGGACTGTTAGTCCCGTGCAAAAAAGGTCGCTTCCGCAAAAAAAATTCTCCGGTCCTCAACCCATCCCCTCATTCCCTCTCTCTCTCTCTCCTTCATTAACCCATCCCCTCTCCATCTCTCTCTCCCTCTCCTCCAATCCCACACCAAAAAAAAGACGATCCTGCTAAAAAAATCAAAATCAACCCTCCTCCCCCAAATCCCCCCAACACTCTCCTCCCAAATCCCCCTGCACTGCTGCACCACCAGCACCGACACCTTCACTGGACAGCGGGGGAGGGCTTGGGTGGTGGCGCGGCTCGACGTGGCGGCGGGTGGTAGCATGGTCGGGGCTGAGGGGAACGGAGGACAGCGGCGGCGGCGAGCTGGCGGAGGAGGTGGAGTTGAGCTCACGGCGGCGTCGGGGCTGATGGTGGTGGAGATGATGAGGAGGCGGTGGAGCAGGGGATTGGAGGGAGAGGGGGGGGGGCTCGGTGAGGGATGGGTTAATGAAGGAGAGAGAGAGAGAGAGAGGGAATGAGGGGATGGGTTGAGGACCGGAGAATTTTTTTTTGGAGAAGCGACCTTTTTTGCACGGGACTAGCAGTCCCGTGCAAAAAAGGGTCGATTTTGCTCATTTTATTATTACACGGTCGATTTTGCCTATTAAATTTAAAAAAAAGTCGATTTTCAAAATTTGTCCTTGTTTTTTAGGGAACATGTTTATCTTTTAGGGATATTTTGAGCGTGGTAAAGTGGGATAAACTAGGATAATGAGACAATTTAAAACTTTAAATTAACAATTCATGATACGGCCTCTTATTAAAATATAATATAATATTTATCTATTCATTAATTCTAAATTAATTTATCCAATTAATTTAGTATATTATTTAGTATGTTACTATAAAGTAATGCGTTATTTTACTTCATACTAAAATATAATATGTTATATTATAATTATTAATTAATATTATTTTAATTATTATATTATATTATATTGTAATTATATGTAATATTATATAACAATTGATATAATATACGAACAATATATTTAATATAATATTTTGTAGTATCGTCGAATATAATGTACAAATGTGCAGTATAAATATTATCATATTTTGTTTTATTTAATATAATATTATTTAAAATATTATATTATAATTGAAATATAACATAATATTATGTGATAATTATTATAATATATAGTGAATATGTAAAAGGGTGTCAGATTATAGAATAATATATTATATTATTTTTTACAACGCTATATTATTATATGTAATATTATGTTTTATTTTATTATTGTTATTTTTAATTACAGCTTTATGATTATATTGATTTTAATATAATATGTATTGATCTTATTGCTACAATAAAATATTAACTGCAATTAATATAATATATATTGTTAAAATGTCATATAATATTATAATAAAAATATCGTGTTATTTTATTATGATATAATATAGTATGTGATATTGCATAATATTATATAATAAATATAAGGGAATATATTAGTTACATTAAGTTAAACTATAATAATTTTTTATTCTATTACATGATAATATAATATAATAATTTATTATTTTATATATTACATATATAACAGTGTATATTTATAGTATAATTAACATAGATTAGTTAAGTAATACAAAAAGATTTTTATCCCAATTGCCTTCAAAGTCGCAATGTGGAGGATGGGTCAAATTTTAACTACTAGGGTAAAAATACGAGCGGGACAATTTTATCCAAAGTAGTAAAATTGTCCCGCTAGTATTCTAACAAATTAATAACACCAAAAGGTGATATTCTTCTTTCATTAGCCCAATAAATGATACCATAAGGTAGAATCTTTAAAAATATCCCATTATCCTCCCAAATATCCTAACGAATAACACCCCTACAAAATGCACATTGACGGCACATGTTTTTAGTAGGAGTCCCTCTTCTTCTTCTGTCCGTCTTTTATGAAAAAATGGCGAACACGACGAAGAACAGTTCAGAAAATCACAAGAAAAACTGCCCGGATGTTTGCCAGTCGACTGCGAGTCAGCGGCGCTCGACCGGAAACGTGCACGAAGTCCAGATGCGTTCTGAAGCTGAAGGCGGTCGACCATTGCGGTCGACCGTCGCAGTCCGCGGTCGACTGCAGAGACCCTATAATCGATTTTGGTCTCGGGAATCGATTCGGTCGACCGCCGCGATCGACCGTGAGTACCCTGTAGGATTTTTGTGTTCTGTCGTGGGGTGTGCGGTCGACCGCGTAGCGGTTATTTTCTGGGTTGCAGGTTTTGACCCGGTTCGTTTCTGAGTTGATATATAAGCCTAATCCTAATTAATTAGGGTTAAGTAAGGACATTTTCAGCAGTCTTTGAGAGGGGATTGTTGCATCCAATTGTGGGAGATTTGTGAGAGATCTAGAAGATTTGTTTTAGGGTTTATTTAAGAGATTTGTAATCCTATTTGTATTCTCTTGATTTCTAATAGTAAGAACTCCCCCCTCATTGCCCCGTGGAAATAAGCAACTTACTGATCCACGTAAAATTCGTTTGTCTTGCTATGATATTGTGTTTGGCTTATTGGTTGTGATTTATCTCTTTTTTGTTCGTGTGGTTTCGAGTTTCCGCCGCGCACAACAAGTGGTATCAAAGCTTTAGGTTTGACTTGAGGCTTGATCGAAGGATTCGGTGAAAGATTTCTATCTGAAGAATTAGATCGACAACATGAGAGAAGCAATCACATCAGGTTCGTCTCTTACGAAGGCGATACAGAGTCTGAGCATCAATAACACGAAGATTGATATTCTGAAGTTCGACGGCAAGATCAACTTCTGTTTGTGGAGGTGCCAGGTGATGGATGCTTTATATGCACAGAATTTGGAGGAGACTCTTGAGTTACAAGAGAAACCCGTTAATATGGAGGATAAGATTTGGAAGAAGATGAATAGTAGGGCTTGTGGAGTTATTCGGTCATGCTTGACGCCGGATCTTATTTATGACGTGATGAACGAGACGTCGGCGAAGAGAATGTGGGAAACACTCAATGAGAAGTATCTTACGAAGAGCATTGAGAATATGCTTCACTCGAAGAAGAGGTTTTACTAGTTCAAGATGAAGAGGGGAGTTTCCATTAGGGAGCATGTAAACAATTTCATGAAGCTACTTTCAGATATGGCCAATGTGAACATCATGGTTGAGGATGAAGACAAGGCGATGCTACTTTTGTGTTCGTTACCCGAGGATGATTACGGTACGTTCGTTCTCACTATGATCAATGAAAGAACTACTGTTAGATATAAGGAGGTGACCTTAGCTTTGGTAAATTATGAGTTGAGAAAGAGTGATGGTGAACCCTCCGAGAAGGTATCGGGAGATGCATTAGCAGTTCGAGGCCGTACTCCAAACCACCGCCAAGACAACCGCTCAAAATCGAAGAATAGAGGTGCCTATAAGAGTGTTAGTAGAAATCAATATCGGTATTGTAAAGAAGAAGGACATTGGAATATTGACTACCCAAAGTGGAAAGAAAAAGCCATGAAGAATGAGAGGAAAGCTGTACAACCTTCAGAAGTGAATGTTACAAAAGCTGTTAATGAACATTCAGAGTCAGATTCTTCGGGCTATTCATGTCCTGCACTACCGTCGGTTTGCTATGCCGACTCCACAGAGTGGATATTGGATTCAGGAGCCACATATCATATTTGTTCTAGGAGGGATTAGTTCTCTAGCTTTGAGGAGCTGGAAAGAGGGGATGTCGTGCTTATGAGTAATGATCACGTATGCCCTATTGGTGGTATTAGTTCAGTTCGGAGCAGGATGCATGACAGTGTCGTGA